ATGTCTTAGAATATCTCGCAAAAAGAAATGATCCAATATTAGTTAGAGCTAGTAAGGCCAAACGCTCCGTTCTTGAAGTAAAAGTGCGAGCTTTGCGCCAAAGTGACGTCACTAGAGTGACGTCGGAGAATCGGCGCGGCGAGAGATACTTCAAAGGAGTGAACCAGCCCTTCTATTCTCTTTAGCCCTGTTTTATTGTCCTTCGACAGCGATCGCATTGCATGATGTCAGAACTGAACTGAAATTGATATGTAGTTTTTGCCGCGCTTGCACTGAAATGCTTATCTACTGCAGAAAAGATGTTGCCTAAAATGTCAAGACAACGATTCCAAGATTATTAAAATGTATGTAGATGTTACAGTATAGATCGCCACCGAGTTGCAACCCCGAACCAAGGCAGGTATTTGGCAGTAACTGCGCAAAAGAAACCGACGCAGCGCAGCATCCGACCTGTCTCGTCAGCTAATTGCAGTCATGGGTACCACAGTTTAAACGCAAACCACTCGCAGACGCTTGGAAAATATTGGGTCTATAACTCAAAAGCCTGCCAAATGTGTTTCGATCACAGAAACTCGCTGTCGCCCTTGATTAGTCTGGAGTAGAGAATACGCAATGGGGAGATAGTCGCAGTGTGTTTGTGTGATGTTTTTCAACGAGTCTGGGTTTAGCTGGCAGTCTGATTCGCGTTGGGCTACAGTGATGCGGGATTGCTCGTTTGGTGGTAGAATTGGAAGAGTAAGGGGTAGAATATACTTGGCTCCAAAACAGATCTACATGTTCAAATCGGAACCATAACAGACCAAATTTATCCGGACATCATTCTGAAACAACATGTACGTTTTTAGGGTTGCCATGGGTTCAGAATTTGTGTTCATGGACGATAATGCGAGTCCTCACCGAGTAAACACTGTAAACGAATGTCTTCAATCTGGGGATATCACATGTACGGAATAGTTAGCCTTCTCGCCTGAGTTGAATCCAATAGAGCATGTGTGGGAGCTTGTCTGAAGAGTTGCAGTCAGTTAACCACCTTCTGTAAACGGGTGTACCGGAACATCGAGAGCATTGCTTGCTGAGTGGAATAATCTTTCCCAAAATCAGCTCGATAATTTGACACTCAGCATGTATAGGCGTTATATGGACTGTATTTCATTGCATGAGAGGGATACAATGGGAGGGATTAACCATCATACCAACCATGTAACATCAAGTTTTTGCAAAGGAAACATTTTTTATAATTTTTACATTAAGCAAAAATTATAACTTTTATGAATGGAGTCATACATACACCATTTTTTTTGTTTCTTATCTTTTGTAGCGTATCTACCACTCCAAGATTACAACTACAATTCACTAATATAAAACATGTTAACTCAACTCTATGTTGGGGTACCTTTTCATAGATGACGGTTGACATGGTCGAAAGCTACTATCCCCACAGTGGTGACCTTCGGACGTGATGTGGACATGCCCACCTTAGCAGTAACGCCCACTTCGATATGAACACGCCTATCTTGGCAGTAACGCCCACTTCGATATGAATACGCCTACTTCGATGGATGGTCCACATTAAAACAGTTGACTTGCTACTTGTGACTGCGACATTATCCACCTCCTCGCACTGTTGCTACTCAGTCTCGTCTCGATTACACACAACGTCTACCTGCATGCATCCGACTGCTAAAGGCAACACAGGAGCGACTACGATAATCATCTTAATACAGCTCTCATGACTAATGTTCAAAACCCGGTGACCTTGATCCAGCTCTCCCGATCTGTCACAAATACAGCAACTAGTAGTATCCATGCAACGAATTCTATCACAGCTGTAATTCTAGTGGGGGAGTACTGTAGCGTATCTACCACTCCAAGATTACAACTACAATTCACTAGTATATAAGACATGTTAACTCGACTCTATGTTGGGGTACCTTTTCATAGATGACGGTTGACATGGTCGAAAGCTTATATTCCCACACTTTCTTATATTTAATAATTGGGCTTTACAATTAAATCTCGCTTGTTTTGTTTCTGAAACTTTTCTTGCTGAGGCTGGCATAATCCAAAATTTATGGAATTTGTGAATTTAAATTATCCTTAACTTATTATTGTATGCATGCCATTAATTATCTTTTTAAATGGCACAATTTTACCAGAAAAAAACACATAATAGAAATGGTAAGAGCTATCGGTTAGTCGATTGATCATATCAAATCTTAATTAATTATCCAATCTTAATTAATGCATCTGATTTAACATAACCGCCCGCCATCTATCGGTATAAAATACTTTATTTACTTTTCCATACATGACACCTATATATTTACTTTGAAGTATTTAATGGAAGTTTTTCTTCAGACAACCTTATGCTTAGCTACCAACAGTAAAAATCAAAGAATCTTGTTAGTTAGAATTTAAACACTGGATTCTTTGTCAAAATTGATTTAAAAAACACGGAAAGTTTCATAGACCTTTAAAAAATTATTTTCGCTGCATCTGATTTAACTAAAAGCGCATAAAAGATGTTTAATAACTGTAAATGCAATTCGCGATCGCAACGAACTATAGGGGGCGTTGTTGTATGAGACTAATACCTGCGATTTCGATATGAACAGTCATTCATTTACTCTGGAGACGTCTTTAATGTAACGTGTAACATTGTAACCTTCCTTCTTTATCGTGGCTTATTAAATTTAAAAAAGAAAAACGTTTGATATCCTTTCTTATGCAAACGAAAACAAAATGGTATCTCCTTTTATTAGAGAAGGAATATCCATATTCACATTGGAAAAATATTTGTACATAAACAGAAAAAAATATGTGTATTCTTATAAGAGTTAAAACCTAGTGCCCGAGAAATAATTTTACTGAATTCAATGATATAACATAAAAGGCCTATTTAAACTTTACATTCCATAGTTTTAAGAATCGTATTACTTCAAAAATTAAAATGAACAAAATGTAGGACATAAAGCCCATAATTTTATGAAATTAAATTTTTTTAAAAAAATTTCTTGACAACAATTTTTATCAAAAATTTCAAGTTTCAATAAAAATCATTATTTAGAAACTAAAAAACGCAAAATAAAGCATTCTGACGAAACAAAAACAAAAAAAAACAATTCTTTTTTGTCGCCATTTTTTAGTGCTACGAAAATTCGTCTTTGGGATTTGCCAAAAACAAAACAAGATCCAATTTTATTTTTTCATGAGCGAAATATTTTACCGAAAAAACGAAAATGTACCAATTCCCACGACATGAAACTTTATCTTGGTAAACGTTCGTTTTGGAAATGTTATTTCATTTGGAATCTTATTTATCAGAGTTCATATGGCGAAATGATTGTTTTGAATCTATGCTAAACTCTATATCGGCTCATTTTCCACCGAAATCCGATTGACTACTTTGATTTTAAATAAAGTGTTTTATTTTATGAATTGTCGCAAAAATTTTAAGTGTAGATTGGCGGCACTTAAAAACCGCCAAATCTGTAGCGGCGGTGGCGTTAATACGTAAGTACCGAATTTTTATTCCATACTTTTCTGAATCATATTATTTCAAACATTGGAATATACAAGAAGTATACATAAACACATAATGTTATACCATTTAATTTTTCAAAAGTATTTTGAGAACAATTTTTATCAAAAAATTATAAACTAAAAAACGGAAAATAAAGAATTCTTAGGATAAAAAAACGATTTTAAGAATTCTTCACATTGAAATAAAAACTTTCATATTGTTTCTTTTTTTATTATTCTTATAGTTCTTAATCAGACGTAAAAAAACCATTCTGTAGAGAACAATCATCAAATAAGAAAAAAAAATATTTACAAGCAAATTTTTTGTTATAAAAATCATAACACTCACTTGTTTTATAATAGCGTAGAATTCCAAATGAAATGTTCTTCGTTTGAAAATTTTATTTTCAAATCATGCATGCATAGATTATCCCTTCATTACTTTTAGATAACATACTACACAGCAAAATTTTATAATTGTAAGACCTTGATATGAAATTGAATATGTAGCTAAAAACAGAATAGCTGAATTCTAGTTGAAATTATTCTTTCAAAACTAAAAAATACTTACCAAGAAAACGATAAAAATTAAGAATCAGCACAAATGGCACTATTTCAAGTAATTTTTTATTGTTGTTTTCCGAATTATATGGATACAGAAATATAAACTATTCTATAACGAAGAAGAATATTCTATAACTCATACAGTTCTGTACGTTCTGAATTCACATTTTTTTTTATTGGAATGACGAAAGCAATGTTTACTTCACTTTAATTTCTAATGAATTGAAGACAGAAGAAATGCATTTTACCTTAATACACACATCTGTAACAGTATGCGATAGCGAAATCGGAAGTTATCAATTGCAAGTTTGTTGATAATAGAAGTTTAAAATTATTGAGAAATTTTTCTTCAAATGCTCGGCGTGTTCTGGGTTTGAAAGATATCTCAATATTCTGGAGATTTTTTTCAAGTTCTTCGGCTTTTCCTTAAGGAAATTTTGAGTTTTATTTGCTGCTAAGAAAATGGCGTCTGACTCTGGCAATGATTTTGATGGAACTAAATGGAAACATGATAAATTAATGTCTGATATTTACAGGCTCCCGCTAGAGGGCGTACTCGAGCGTTGCGATCGCGAATCGCATTCGTGAATCGCTGTCATGTGCGATCGAATGGCAATCATATGCAGTGAGAATGTTGTTTTAGTACTTTCATGTAGCATCCCGCATTTACAGGTTTTGCACAGCATACTTACTATAGAACAATCTCAGTTTTCTACTGAGCATACACGAGATTACCAGAACTCTTTGTTCTTTTTTTAATGTACATGCATGTCATAGGTTATTTTTAACATACATGTAACTTCTGTATCACAACAAAATGTTAAGTGAACATGGCGAGAACATGCATATTAAAAATGGTACGGACTATATATCTTTTTTCTTTTGCCATGTTTCAAAATGTTTTCTTAAAAAAATAGATAAATACAATAAAAAATCTTTTATTTTTTTACTAATCCATTAAAAAAAGTTATTTACAATGTTAGTGAGTGGGTTTGATTGTTTTTTATGGCGATCACAGTCTCATAGGAAGGTGGTTCATCAATTTGAATTTGTTTATGATACACCGAACTTTCATAATCTGGAGGAGGTTGTCTGATAGGTTCTGGTTCCGAACATCTTGGCAGTGATGAGATAAAGTAGACCTGGTTTGAAGGAGAGGAAACAAAAATACTGTTTAGAATATTTCAATAGTACATGAACCGATTCAGCAATTATAACTTTTTGATTTTATGACCAAATTTAGAGATTATGTATATGTTTTGTATTGTATTTTAAGCTTATTTGTTTATCGATTTCCCAATTAAATTAAACGAATCTTATAGCGATTCGTCATTCATGAGTTATGTAATATTTTTTTAATAAAAATTGGTTAATAATGATTGCTTTTGATGTATATTTTTAGAAGCCTTGCAAAAAATATGCAGAATAGGAATTGAAAATTAATTGTGGAAGAACAAAAAAAAAATTAAACTCTGACTAAGCATTATTTAGGCCATCAAGATCAAAGAAAAAATTAAAATAATTATTTGTCACTTTGCTTATTTGTGCATCCACTGGAGTTGTAATACATTCGTGTTACGCTACAAACCATCAGCTTTAAGCTTCCAGCGACGGATAGTATATGTTTTGTGCTACGTAAACTAAAGCAAAAAAGAAGAAAAAAACACCTGAATAAGTACAAGTACATAAACCAGCATTCTATAATTTCTGTTCTAAAAACATATATTTTCCTCAATATTTAAACATCAAATGAAGGTTATAGCGAAGTAAGGAGACCGACACGTTTAAAATTGGCTTAACCAATGGGGACAGAGGAACAAGTTTGAACAAGGAAACAACCAGGGAGAGATAAGAAACATAATTCAAACCCTCACACCTGTTTCTTATATCTTTCTTGCTATTTCCTTGATCAAACTTGTTCCTGTGTCCCTATTGGTTAAGCCACTTTACACATGTCGGTCTCTTTACTTCTCTACCTTCATTTGATGTTTAAACACTGAGGAAGATTCTTGCTTTTAGAACTGAAACTCTAGTATGTCCATTTATGTACTTTCATTTGTGCTTTATGAACTTTTTTCTACCATAATCGCCCTTAAGCTTCCTTCTCAAACAAAGTAGATTCAGATTATTTTATTTTATTTTATAACCGTCGTTAAACAAACGGCCCAAATTTGTGTTTCTGACTACCCACGTTCAACTCCGTAGCCTTGTAATTTTGAACCCTAGCCAAAAGATAAGGAAACTCCTGGATCAGTACCCCCAGAGATATTGATTTGTTATAGGGATTTGGAGAACTTTGTAACCCCGACAAATATAACGTGCACCAGTCATCATTTAATACATGGGGATTCTTCGGTAGGCTGGATTCAAACTCTCGTTCTCACGAATACATGTCCTACTTTCTACCATCCATGCTATCCCGGCCAGATTTAGATTATTGTAATCCCTTATTCATTTTTATTATCTTCAGTTATTTTAATAAGTTATTTGACAGCTTTTTGGCACTTCTCACTTATTTTGAAACACTTGCTAGAGAACAGGTTTTAACTTAATTTTTACATAATGGATCTAAAACTGTACACCACGGATTTTCATTATATAAAGCATCACATGTATATTTCGAAGGGTAAAATGCGCTCTTGATCGAATTATTGAATACGTAGGTGCTTCAACCTTACACGTGCTTATTAATTTTAGCCATCAGTATTTTTAGTTACGAAATCAAACGCACAAACTGGCACCTTAATATTGATTTTATAATTGGTGCTTATTTTCTCATACCTTTGAAACAATTGAAATGAATTTTAAAATGTTTGTCAACATTGAAGGAGTGGAGACAAATATTATGAACAGAGTCATCCACCCAAGAGCATCTTTTAAAAGTCACAAAAATTCTAGGAATCCAGAAATATTCAACGCAAAAAATAAATATCAATAACACAACTGTCAGAGTAATTTTATTACACAACTTTCAGAAAGATGGTGTCTTACAAAGTTAGACAACCCTTTATGAAACTCGGAAAGTTTTTTCGAAATAACTGTCCCAGAAAAATCTTCAATATCTTCTGACATATTAAAATAAAAAATGAAACGAATGAAATGAATTGAAGAGAGCAAACCTCATTACAATAGTCGTAAGCATCAAGAGAAAATGAAAATGGAGGGACGTGTAGTAAGAATATCATGAAAGTGACACACGTTTCTCTCTTGAACACCTGATAGCAGAAGAAAAAGAGGAAGATTTGGAATGATTTGGAGGAATTGATCTAGAAATGACCCTAGACACAGAACTTCCCGGGGACACCAGGTCATTAAAACTAAATTTACTTGTTGTTTAATTATGAGTGTTTTTAAATTATTTATAACACAAGTAAATTACGATATATTAATAAATTTGAGATTATATTTATCTCAATTTTTGTTAGCTTATAACTCTAATCGCTTAAGGAAAAACAGACACACACAAAAATATATTTGTAGCATTTAGGGGGGTTCCAGAAATGTGAAGGCCCTAGAAGTTGGCCTTTCAGGCCTTGTTATGTAATAAGCGCTGATGATTTGGCAAAGACAAATACAAGCAGATTTCAAAAGGACAAAATCTAGTGAATTAGAAGAAGTCGGATACTAAGATAAGGGAGCAAGGAGAAGTAGGCTGGAGGCCTTCTGCGCCAAATGGCAAGAATAACCCATGTTAAATGTTTAAGTCAAACAGTTGAAACTCGCTTATTACAAAATATTTCAATGTAAAACAATTTTTTAGTATTGATTATTCCTTAATTAATTGATTTCAAATGGTTGAAAAACTTTCTATCTCTTGGACTCATGATTGCAGAAGAAAAAGATTTAGAAGGATTTGGCAAAGATAAATTAAAAGGGATTTCAAGAGGACAAAATTAAAAGAATTAGAAGAGGTAGTCAGATACCAATATCGGAGGACAAGAAGTAGGTTGGATGCCTTAGGTGCCAAATCGCTTGAATAACTTATGTTAGATGCTTAAATGTTTAAAAATAAAATGTCTAAGTTAAAATATTTATGTTAAAGTGCTAAAACTCGCTTGAAGCAAGATTTTTCAATGTTAAATAGTTTTTAGTGTTAATTATTCTTTAATTATCAATTTAATAATAGTTGAAAAACTTTTACATTGTAAGGCATAAAGGCGAAAGACATTGTAAACTTCTGCTTCACGGAGTACAAATTAGTATTTAACTTTGAACTGTGTAACTTTATAGGAATTGAATAAATAGTTTTTTAGAAATAAAAAAAAATTTAAATTGCGAAGAACTTTTTTTTCTTCCAAAATTTAATAATTAAAAAACTTTTTGGCTGATTTTGCTTAAATTTTATCTATTTTTTTCATTTAAAACTGTTTAATTGTTAAGTTGTCCAATCTTCCAATCTCTTTCCAGTCCAGATAATTGGGACCATATTTCCCAAATTACGGCTATTCTTCACATTTTGAGGGTCAAGAATCAAAATACCCTTGAAATAAAAAGGTATGATTTTTCATCAGAGAAAGCACGTTTTGTGTCTGATTTGGTATCTTAGAATATCGTATTACCTTACTTTTACTTTTTGAACTTTTTTCTTCTTCTTAATTTAACTTTTTAAATAAAAGTTTAAAAAAAAAGTAGTTTTTTTTTAAAATTCAAATTAAGGTGAGTTTCAAAATATCAACGACTGGAATTTAAAATAAGTACCGTAACGAAAGAAACAAATGAATATAAAATGTTAGAAAATCGACGCCTGAATTTCGTAAAAAATGAGAAGGAAAAAAAGACTGCCCCCAAGTTGTATTTTCTACTTTGGGTCAGAACTTCGTCTATTTTCAACACTGGGTGACAACAAGCTGTTAACTGCGTTTGTGACACATTAAGTTATGAACTGTATAATGTTTCACATCTCTTAATAGGATAACTCAAAGAGGTAAAAAATATATAATTTTTAATGAAAAATGGACATTAGTTCCACTAGATATATACTTTTCTCGTTACAGTAATTTCGCTGCTAATATTGTTTAAAAACATTACATGACTTCATTACATGATTGTTTAAAAATATATTATTTTGTAGTTATAATTTGCTTCCAGACGTAGACAGATTACTAATATTTAATCGCCTTACTCGAGTAATATGAATCAAAATAGTGAACTAATATTTTGAAACCATTTCGTGCTGGAACTGTTTTCCATTCTTCAATTATGGAAGCCACCTTAAAACCGCCTTTCCTTTCAAGTAATTGAGATTAGAGCGATTTAATATTCATTAGAGAAATCAAACATAGACAAAATTTTGCTTTTGTAAGCTATTACTTTGCGTGTATTAGGAAATTAAACAACTACGTGAGAAAATGTGACATTTTGTCTCCTACCAAATGACATTTTACAAGGTCAAGCGCAAGAAAATCTTGTAATGAAGCGAGAAAAAAAAAAACTTTTAACTCAATCAGTTCCGAAAAAAAAAAGAATAAGAATTCTGAAAAACTTACGTCATATGGAAAGGACTGAAACTTTGAAACATATGTGTTTTTGACTACTTAGGAAAAAAGCTTATTGGGTAGTCTAAGCTTAATCTAATAAAGCTTATATTACTCGCAAAGCTTTTATAATAAGCTAAATAAGCTTTTGGAAATCCTGAACAAAAAGGCTTTCAAGGTTAGTTTCTTTAAATAGAAATTAAGACAACATTATTTTAATAATTTTATGCTTGTATATTGGTGAAAAAATCTAATGCTGTGGTAAAATGTGCATTTTACATTTTTGGATATTGTCTATATTGTTTTCATAGTTGCTATTTGATGTACTATTGCTTCAAACATTACGTAAAAAAGCACTGTTGTAGTTAAAACCAGCAAGAATATATTTTTTTTGATGAAAAAATTTTGTTTACCAGATTGAGAAATGGAGCTTTTGTGAGCACAATCTATATTTTTCGAGGACCTAGCTTAAAAACAAACTTAGGGAAATAATACAATTTTTAGAGAAACATATATATATATATTTGAAGGCAGATTAAAAGAAGAATATAGTAAATAATTAAAAGAGATCCATATATCAAAAGAAAAACTCACATATTAAGGAGAATTGCATGTTAAAGCAACTTGAACAGACACGCAAAGAAGCAATTGTAACTAGATTTTGCTTAAGAGCTGTACTCAATTTTTTTTCCCTCTTATTATTTAAACTATAGTGTAATGTGAAAGTAAAATTCGACCAGATTTGTTTAAAAAAAAATCCCGAACTTTATTTTTGGGTTTAGAAAAATGGTGTTTTGATGCACATAACAACTTTCATTCTACAACTTGCTCGAATTATTTTCAGTCTATTTTCTAATAATTTGAATAGCTAACTTTACCAATGATTGAGGAACTCGGATTTGTTTTCAGCACGTTATAATTTTTGTACTCACTATAACTCACAACCGGCGTTGAACATGAGACAGAATTATTAGTTTACTACTATGAATGTTCAACTCCGCAGATTTTTAATTTTGTACTCAACCAAGAAGACTAGGGAACTCCTGGATCAAGCATTGGGATAAACTGGGCTTCGTGGAGATTTTTTTGATGGAACTAACTCTCATGCGTGTTACAAAAAGAGGTATAACCGGGAACCGGTGTCAAAGGAATTCTAACCCATATTCCGTCTACCATTGAGGGTATTTTAAGCCAGCATTGTAGTCGGTGCGAGCTGAAGGCAGAATTTGTATCAACCAGCCACACCTGGGATTTGAACGTGGTTACCTCATTGAGAGGTGAATGCCTTATCTCCTGAGTCACCGTGACTCTTGTACTCTCAATAATAAATTTTGTATGAATGTTTAATTATTCCCGAGTGAAAAAGTTCAAACGATTCCACAAAGCCGAAATAGCTCAAGAGCGAATGAAGGGCTCGCCTCCCAATTAGGCGACAGAGGTCTGAATCCCAGCGATAGTTGGTTGATTTGAATTCGACGGCTGGTTGATTTGGCTCTCTAAGATCATAGTTCTAATGTAAAATATCCCCAGTGGTACACGGATCACGGGTAAGAATCCCGTTGCAGCTGTGCTAATCGTGAGGGGTTTCAGTGGTTTCCCTCACCTTGAAACGTAAATGTCGATTAGTTGCATAAAAAAGTCCTCCAAGAAGGTTAGTTTGTTTCAGTGCTTAATCCAGGGGTTCTTTTGTCTTAAGAGTTGGGTTTTAAACTACAAGGATACAAAGTTGAATATTGATAGCCGCAAATGGGCTGGTTGTTCAACGCTGGTTACGAAATAAAACTATTCAACTACAATAAACGTTGATACACCAAAATGTGATTGTATAAGAAGAGAAAACATGCCAGAAAGATATTTTTATGGGTTTGATCCCCAATAATGCCGGTGTCATTTTTGGGATATCTCATTTAATAGTAGGTACAGCATGAAATTTGTGAAGCCCCTTATCAATTCGAGCTTTGTTTTAAAAAGTACAAAATCTACTTATTAAATTGGCTGATCCTTTTTAAATTTTAAAGATATTTAGATCGTACTTTTTTTATTAGTTACCAAATACAATATTTAGAAAAAGAAAAAAAAAATACAAAATTTAGAATTTGTTTTTTAAATTTTTCCCGCTCATGTGTAGTATAATAGAACTACTTTAATTACTCATATCTTATGAAGTTTTACACACATTTTTCTCAAATTTTAAAACAATAATTTTGTAATTAATTTTAAATTGCTCCATTTTTTTTAATTGAACATTTTTAAAGTTATAGCAAGAAAACGTATGACAAAAAAAAATTATTTGTTTTTCTGTAAAAATGTCCAGATTTCAATAAATATTTAAGCAAGGTTTACGAAATTTTGTGCAATTATTGCATGTAATAACTAAAATAATTGCTACACGTTACAAATTTATTGCTACATTTTTCGCCATAAGGTGTTCAAAAAACACTATTTTCTGTCCCCAGTATTTTTTGAGAAAGATTAAAAAATATGGCAGCATAGAAGTGTTTCCATTATATTATCCAAACCATGCATAAGGCAATAATACATGCATACATGCGCACATACATTAGGTTTGAGAGACCTACAATAAATTACTAAAGAAAACAATTATTTTTGAACACCCTATGCCAGAAAATCGAGCAATGAGCTTGTAAGTTGTATCGATCACTTTAGTTGTTATTTTTAATAACTGCGTAAAGTTTCGTAAGTCGGGGCATTTTTATAAAAACTAATTTTTTCACGTTGCATTTTTTCATTGTAACTTAATATATATTCAATGGAATTACGCACAATTTTTGGAGCATTTTAAGATTAATAACAAAAATTGTCGATTTAAATTTTTTCAAAAATTCGTTAGAAACTGGATTTTGGCAACTAATAAAAAGAAAATTTGGTTTGAATATCTTAAAAATTTAAAAAGTTTCAAGCAATTTTCCAAGTAGTATTAGTACTTTCCAAAATAAAGATAAAAACGATCAGGGGTTTTTCGCAAATTCTATTTTGTACCATTAGACAAAATTCAATAACAAATAATTCTACCTTACCTATAATTACTAGAATATTGACTAAATTCATATATTATGAAACAAATTTACAACAAGTTCGTTTCAACAGATAGAAAAAACTTCTTTTGTAATAGGCTCGAATTCAAGGGATAAAGACATTTGATACGTTTCATGCTAACAATTTTTTTTTTTTTTTTTTTTAATGGCGGGGCCTTGGAGCTATTGTCCATTGGCCACAGAAAGTGCCAGAACTGCTAATTCTCTTTTCGTTACCCAGTGGGCACCTGTGGCGAAGCCACGGCGGTGGAACAGCGTCGCCCACGTCACAGTACCACAACCCGTTTATAGGGCGGGTCACATTCACACACAAAGGAGAAAGGACATATTTAATGCATAGTATAGCGTTTNTTGCCCCGGATTCGAACCCAGAACCTTTCTGATGCAAGGACAGTTCCCTGCCCCCTACACAGACTGGTCGGCTCATGCTAAGAATAAAACACTTGATACGCTCGTAGGTAAAAAAGATCCTTGCGTGATGCATTTTTGATCTCTGTGATCTCTAACAACAGATTAAGAAGAATGGGAAATACGCGTTGGAAGGGCCGTGAACAATATAATGATAAGTTATATTTTCAAGCATTTTTGCTAGAGTTATTGTTAAATTCACTTATAGGTTATAAAGAATATTTCGTATATTGTGCTGATATTTTTTGGAAATCCTAGATGTATGTAAATTGCCTACATATAAATAATACTACGGAGTATTATAAAGCGGAAATATCGCATTCTAAGTGCAGCTTACCAATATATTGCCACAAACCCTTCATAATAACTGAACTTGATAGAAGGATTAAATACCTGTTGTGATGAAGTATGACTAGTATTTGGCTGAGCTTCTTTGTCTTGAAGTTTCTTTTGACAGATGTAACACAATAAGAACAATAAGCACGTGCTTCCTCCAAACGTTGCCCTATAAAAGCATATTCGACTGTTAAGCCATTTTTGTGAGTGTCTTATTCTATATGGGCACTTCTCGAAAGTTGGAAACTAAAAGCTAATTTTGAATTCTATTGATATTTATTTTATATGCATTAAATATTCATTAATTATGCAATTCCATTTTTACATTGAAATAAATTTACAACATATTATTTTTTTTCATCGAATTAGAATTCATCGTATTGCTTTAAACAATAAATTTAAGCAAAAAACTAACGTTTTTACTCAATTTACATGAATCCGATCATCCTATATTTCACGCGTAAAAAATTGAGAAATATGACGCGAAAACATAGGAAAATACTTTAAAATAATTGTTATTTTAAGGATGGATAAACACGTTCAAATTACTTATCTTTAATCTATTATCTGTGTAAATAATAACACGATTTCGTACACAGTCTTTTTTGGGACATGCGTAAAAATACAAAATTGCTTTTTTTTAAGGAAAAGAAAACAACATATCTCTTACACTGTTATATTTATAGCTGCCATTTGTCAAGAATTATCAAGTAACCCTCCTATTTAAAATTTAAACTCTCATTTTCATTTGTTAACATCTAGGCACTATTAAACTATTATTTTTCTCTTTGATGTTACGTTGGCCCAGTTAACACGAATGTCTAGAATTGACCTTTTGAGATTAAATAAAATAACTATTTAAGGTATTTATGGAGAACTTTCGGAAAAAAAAAATGTTAAATTGCTAGACAGACTGGACAGAAATATAATTTTACTCTAAAATTATTACTGTGAATTAAGTTTGAATTTAATTGTCAGATCTGCCTAAAGCTCCCTCCATTTAAGAACTGCCAATATAGAGTTTATTTTTCATGTATTTATAGATAAAATGCATGCATAGTGCATAACTCTGAACTCACGTTTAATGTAATTAAAATCCCCGTATATAATATAAAAAGATAATTATCTTCGTACCGTTTCGTGCACTCTCATAGTACAAAAACTCAAATGAAATAAAATAATAATAAAAAAATATATATATGTATATATATAAAGTTCAAAATGAAGATAAAACAAAGGAAAATTACAGACATATGAAAAAAAAGGGGGAGGGAAGAAAAATAATAATAAAAAAATAACAAACAACTGGGGGAAAAAAAGGATAAATTTTTTTTTTTTACCTATATGTACGTATATGTACATAAATATATGTACATAAAAGGGACACAGGTGTCCTATCTGTTTCAAAGGGTGAAGTCATCCAAGGTTAAAAGAAATAAAATGTGGATGCATATAAATAAAAATTTCAAAATAAAAGAATTTCTCTCAGCTAAATTACTTGAAAAGTTGTACTTTATTTTTTTAAAGAAAGATAAGTATAATTTTATTCCTGTTTTCTTCAGTTTTTCAATTAATTACAATTCCTATGTTAAATGTTTGTGTGAACTTGATGAACAGCAAAGTCAATATCGTCAGTTAATGAAGTAACACTATTATACGGTTCTTAATTCACATAGGATTAAAAAGAAATTAAATGTAAATGTATGAATTCAATAACTTTCAAAATAAATATAATTTTTTATTAGTTATCTTACTAATTCATTAAAATGTTCCCAAATTTTCTTAATAACTATTGTTCCCAAAATTCAAAATAATTATATTTTTATAAGTCAACTTACTAATTTAGAAAAATGTTTCCAAATTTTCATAATAACTTTTGTCTCCAAAATTCAAAAAAAATTTTTTTTAGTTAACTTACTAATTTAGAAAAATATTTCAAAATTTTCATAATAACTATTGTCCCCAAAATTCAAAACAATTGGTTTTTTATAAGTTAAACTTCAGAAAAATGTTTTCAAATTTGTACGAAATCTAAAATTACATTGATACCAATTTTCTTCAGTTTTTGAGCATAATCTTATTTAAATTCTTTAAGTAAAAAAACACCGTGTCAACTGTGAAAATTTCAGTAACATTACTTAATGAGATAAAAATATAAAAATGAAATAATTCTTAAAAGCTTAAAAAGTAATGGAACAATTTGACCAAAAATATCGATAGTAAACAATATTGAAAACAATGCAAACTTTTTTTATATAAAAAATAATATGTTGAGATAGGTTAAAATTTATTAATATTCATTTAACTTTACCAGGCGATGGGCACGCTGACCGTGTTACCATGAATTGGTTCATTCCCCATGGATCCTCTTTGATCTTTCCGATCTTCAACATCCCGTCCGCAATGGACAGCAACTGCTGAGGACAATGACGTCCACTTCCCGAAAGCAAACTCACGCTGAATGCATTATCAGTTGGGGAATGGGCGTTGTAACCGAAACTTCAGAATAAATACGGAAAAAAAAAAAGATATTTTTCTCCCGTAAATTATTCCTGGAAACGGGTAGCGTTGATCGATGGCGGTCGATCACCTGACTAGGTGCGTGTTTGAAGATAGTGTCCACAGATAATGGCCTTGCACGATCTTCCTGATGTTCCTTTACGAAGAATGAAATGATGCTATTAGTCAGCATGGAATCATTTGCTTCCTTATGTTCTCTTTTTTTTTATTATGTTTGACTTTATTTTTATGTATTAACTGCTGATGTTTGGATAGTTCTGAAAGTCATAAATCTTCAGTGTTAAACGATGCGATTTTTGCCATGTTTTTATTCCTGGTTTTACCTGTTCCACATTTTAGATTAAGTTTTTCGTTTGAGTACTTGAAAATGATTCATGGTGCATAGGTATAAACATTTTTAACTGATTGGGAATGAATAATTATTAACAAGCTGTATGAAAAAAAAATTGAAAATAATTTGGTTTACACAAAATATTAGGCTTTATACAATATATTATATAGAAAAAATTGCTTCGTACATTGTAAGGTAAGAATTGGAGCAAATATGTGGGTAAATACACAAAAGAAATCTGGACACAATAATTGAAATAAGATTTACAAAAATAAAAACAGATTAAGATTGAATACCGAAGTTTTAATTTGCCGGCACACAAACAATTGTTTAAGTCTATTACATAGCTTTTGAGATTTCAACCCCCCCCTTTTTTTTAAAGTAATCTTTTATTAAGTTTTTAGAAGCTCTGCCTATTATAGGCTCAACAATTTTTTTCTAAAAATGAATAATCCTTCATTCAACTACGAGCTATCACCTACCGACAGAAAATACTTCGTTTTTTTTTTATTTAACTTCACTTGCTCTTCATTTATTTATTTACCTGGTTTTTTGTTCTCTTGAATTATTTTAGCGATCAAAAAGAAAATAAAGTATAAAACAGAGTTTCATGTTGGAAATAAGGCAGTTTAAGATTTTTTGTGGCCTCGTTCAGCAAAGCTGCTTATAAGTTTTGGGTCGCTGTCAAAGGGTGATTGCAAGTCACAGTCATCCTAACTAGATTCTCCGAAGAATGTTCATTAAAGTTCAGATCTGGTGATGTGACTGGTTAATTACCTTCACTTTCACCGAGTACCATAACTTTACACCAGAAAATAATCGACCAGATGATCTCTAAGAAATCGCATTATGTCGTCTATTTAAATAGAATCGTAGAAGTGAAATTATGAACCCTATACTTGTCACCAAACATAGCATATCTTTAAAAAATATGTGTGGACAAACAACATGATGCCTACTCGTAATAACAAAACTCCGCTGCCATAATAGTCGATTTATTAGATAGTGGAGAGCTGGTAACCCCTTCTTATTACATGAACCAGTTAGTATGAACCAGAAAACCACTTCCTGTCTTGCAATGCTCTGGAAATCGACTATTATGGCAACTGAGGTTTGAGGGTATGGATGAGCATCATGTTGCCACACACTATTTCATATTTTCGAAAAAGGTATTGTGAGATCAAAAAATGTACTTGTTTATCTTTTCAGGATTGCTGTCGGTCATGATTCCATTTAAATATATAAAAACTCGCGTTCACTAAAAGGATAATTTGGTCGAAGATTTTCAAGGAAGTGAATTCCTCACTGTCTGATCTCCAGGTCTGGACATTTTATTGCATTTTATAAACTGCATTGAAGAGCCATTTGGGTCCATGACGATATAAATGTTAAAATCTGTAGTCTTGTAATTTTGATTTTCAATGTAACTTAACTTGCCATTTCGTGATACGGAAAGGAAAAGCTCACACAATTATCTCGATGGCAAAGAGATTCTAACCCATGATCCACTGAGGATATTTTTCGCATCGACCAGCCACCACTGGGATTCTAGCCTGGGTCAAATCATTGGGAGGCGAGTATTCTATCCCCTGAATTACTGCGACTCACGCGCGCGCACGATCTGGACTGTAAGGAAAATTCTTCGGTAAATTTGTGGAGAGAGTTGACCACTCGAAATTCTTGTTCGACAATCATTCAAGGATAGAAAACAGCCTCGCTGAATTAGCAGAATTGACAGTAAGAACACTTAAATTGCTTTATTTTCACAATAAAACCACAATGTGAAGTTTGCATTTGTAGGAGAGGACAAGATCCCTGGTCGGTGCAAGCCAAATGAGAAATATCGTATCAACCAGACATCGTTGTGTTTCGAACCCGATTCACCTCGTTGGAAGGCGAATGCTCATCCCCTGAGCCATCACAGCTCCGCTGCATTAGCAGTTTCACAGTTTCATTGCAGTACCAGTTCATTGCTTATCTTTGTAGTGTTAAAATTGCTCGTTTATGAGTCGAAATAACCGTAATTTTTTTTTTTCTTGAAGTACATAAATATTTGGTCTATATTCAAAAAATCCTACCGAGGCACGAACAAATAAACCCGTCCCCAATTCCAGCTAAATGATGGTCATAAAGGGGTAGGATTAGTTAATAACAGTGTGTGGTCATTTCAGACTGATTATTGAAAAGAACTATCCTATTGTTTTTATATCGATAACATTAAGTACCAAATTAACACTGCTTTCATGGCAGATTGAGTGAAAAACCACAAAAATCCCTCATTATTAGCCCGACAGCAAGGGAATTTTAGCCCATGATATGTCTACCTCAGAGGATATTTTATGTCAGCACTGTGGGAGTTGCGAACCGTGAGCAAAATTCATATCAACCAGCCGTAGCTGTTATTCGTATCTGGGTCCATTCATTTGGAGGCGAATGCTCTATCCTCTGAGCCAAGGCAGGGATAGCCTGTTCGGTAGGGCTCTGGGCCCATGTCCAAGAATTCGTGGGTTCGATCCACGCCGGCCGTAGACTCCCCGTGTAGTAAATGGTGACTGATGCACGTTAAATCTGTCGAGTCGTAAAGTCCTCTATATTCCCATAACAAATCAAAACCTCTGGGGGTACTGATCCAGGAGTTTCCTTGTCTTCTAGATTGGTTCACAATTACAAGGCTGCAGAGTTGAACATTAGTAGTCGTAAATCCAAAATTGGGTCGGCTGTTCAACGACGGATATAAAATATCTTCTGAGCCACCGCGGCTCTAATATGATCGATTCCATATATTAACCTTTTCAGGACGGGTGATAACATTGGGATAGGGTATCGTACATGCATTCGTACAGAATGCAGATACTTTACTCGCCGGTCCCGAAAAATGCAGCTATCATTTCAATACTCTGATTAAAAGTAAATAAATGTGTTCATTAAAAACGTCCATAAAGGAATTTTTTCTGGATCAGTGTGTTTTAATGTCACTCACCAAAAGGCTTAATGATTTTCTTTTTATTTCTTGGATACCAGTACTTTTTTTTTCTTTCTCCCTCTTTAAAAAAAAATCTACCTTATTTATGTTACGCTTACAGACATGAATTTCTAATCTAATCATATGATTGCGTGTGTAAAGATAGTAGCGCGCATAATTTTCGTGAGATCTTTCCAAAACAAAATATATATATAAATAAGTAAATCAATAAATAAAGGACATTCCTGGCGCGTTTTTGTTTAATTCTATTTTTCTTTTTAAAATGAGTCACATTTAAATGAAAAATTAACAAAAACACCTTTAAATATTCTAACTATTTTAATTTACGAATACCGCACATGTTTTCTTCCTACTTAATGAGCTGTCAATATGTGAAAAAAAAAGAAAAAACTAAACTAACTAAACCCTTTTAAAACTAATAAGAAGAAAAAAAACTACTTTTTGTGGACAAAATTCCATGGAAAAAGATTTCCTCCAAAATGTTGGATTAACTGTTTACCTGCTGGAGACTTATTTTGTGCTAATGGAAAAAAGTGTCTTTATGAAAAACGTGGTAGCAGGTTTGCATATAAATTAAACGGAAATTTTCTTCAGTTAGCTACTATTTTCGTCATAAAATACATCAGATGCTTGATTTCAGAAAAGTTATACATCACAAAATATAAAATTAATAGATTTTGGTTCATAGGAATATACAGTTTTTCCAATTACAAGAGCTAAGAATAAAATATTTGAGTTACCAGTCTTTAACATTTTGTAAAAGGGACATATAACCAAAGTGGAATATTGGTATTGAAAAGGTTGAAAATTCATCCAACACAGATCTGTACTTAATTATCCAACACAAAGCTCGTGTTAAAACTTGACTAGCTAATAGGAAGACTAGCTTAAAGCTAGCTAAATTCTATTGGTAGAGTTAAGAATAATGATGGAAATTTTCATTATAATCAGTGTCAAAGCTCAGTTGGAAATTTAAGCTCTTTAACTTGTAGGGAAGAGGTCAACCTTTTGATTAACAGTTACTTCTGCTTCAAGCGGGCAGGATTTGTCGTCATCAAGCTGGGAACTGCAGTAGTGCTCTAGCTAGTCTAATTTCGATTGTAAGATCCACGCATGCAATCGAAGTTAGTAAATAAGCGAACCGCGAGGGCGAGTTGATAAAAACGTATTAAAATGTTATTTAGTTTGCACAGTGTGGAAAAAAGTAAATGAACCACCCTGAATAACTTTTGATATAATTATCGGATCCTCACGTTCTTGGATTCAATCTTAATGGTCCGAGGGACGACCTCAAATATGCTAATTATTTAGTGCATACGATATTTTAAGTTACGAAATCAGACACAAACACGTACTTTCCTTGAATAAATACTTTTTTCGACGGATTCCGATTTCTGACTCAAAAAATGTAGGGGACAGCCGCGATCTGGGAAATGTGGTTCCAATGGATGGTGTTTTCTACACTTGGGAGCGCTGCAAGCTCGGGACTGCCTAAATTTCCGGGTTACTGTTTCAGTTGTATTTTAAGGCCATTTGGCATCATTGTGTTTTGAGATTCTTACAAACAATGCATTTGATTACTTATTACTTATGTTTACAATGCTAACAATACTGTTTACAATACTAAAAGTGTTAACACTAACGTAAGATGGTGCACAGCTTGCAACACGAACAAACAGTAATAAACAAATCGAAAGAGGCCAAATCAAGACTGCCGAAAAAGCGAGTTATTCAAAATCTAGCAACCATGTCACCTTTTTTTAATAATAAATAACAAAATAAATAAAACAAATTTTCACTCCAAACTCCCCAGAATTACATAATAACATTAATATCTTA